AAGAAAGAAAAAAAGAAAGAAAGAAAGAAAGAAAGAAAGAAAGAAAGAAAGAAAGAAAGAAAGAAAGAAAGAAAGAAAGAAAGAAAGAAAGAGAACACATTTTAATTGCTGGGTAAGTAACTGAGCATGTACAATTCTCTCCATCCTTTAAAATGTTAAGGAAATAGGAAATACTTTAAACAAGTTAGAACCAATAATTGAGATTTACTTGAGTTCAATATCCTTGTTAAAGCAACAGGAATCCAAAGTTCACAGAAATGAAGTCAGTTTGGTTAGGCAGAGTCAAGCTAGGATCCTGTGGACAGCCAGTCCTGTCTGATGCTCTTCCTACCACCCTGGGTGAGAATGATGGTTCCTCCCATCATAGCAACTTCTCCATGCTTAACAGCAGTTGATTAGGAGTCTCCAAAAAACCTATTTCACTTCAGTAGCACAGGCTTCCTAGCTCTCAGTTGTTAAGTAATCTGGTTTCTATTGTCAACGCTGGCTGGTAAAAACAAAAATAACAAACAAAAATTTTAAGTAGGTTAGGGGAGTGGGGAGGAAATGCAAAATACTAGTCTCATTCTGGAGGCAGCACAAATTTCTATTTACATGCCCTACTTTAGAAAAAAAAATTGAAAAGCTGGGCATAGTGCATGCCTGTAATTCCAGCACTGAGGAGACTGAAGCAGGAGTATTGTGACTTTGAGGCCGACTTGGGTATATACAAGACCCTAAACAAAATGACTAACAAGACTCTCACCCCTAAGCTGACCACAGTTCAGGAAATGAAACATTACCTGAGTCTAACATGATAAGGAGCAAAAGTGTAAGCAAATCACTTGGGGGGAAAAAAAGAACAAAGTAGCAAAGCTGAACATGGAAAAATCATCAACAAACAGAAGCCAAGGATCTTCCTTTTCATAAGATTGATTCAAATATTGAAGACATGTAGTTAACTTTAAGAGTATCCTACACACCAAGTATTGTGTTAAGTCCTTTAAAGGCATCCCACTTAAGTATTGAACACTGTAAGAACAGTACTAGATCATTTTACACATGGAAATACACATTTAAAATTGATGTGCCGGGCGATGGTGGCGCACGCCTTTAATCCCAGCACTTGGGAGGCAGAGCCAGGAGGATCTCTGTGAGTTCGAGGCCAGCCTGGGCTACCAAGTGAATCCCAGGAAAGGCGCAAAGCTACACAGAAAAACCCTGTCTCGAAAAACCAAAAAAAAAAAAAAAAATTGATGTAACTTTTCTAAGTTCACATTCCTATTTATGTGTGGAGCTTTAGCAAACAAAATAGAGTTACCACAGCTGACAAATGATATGGCTGCAAATATATTCTTTCTTTCTGTACTACTAAATGACTAAAAGTGTTGAGTAAAGAGACACTGCAGGAATTTTAAAGGGTATCTGAAAAAAATTACCAGGAATTTAGTTTTTTTAAAAAAATATAAGCAGGAAATAGTTAAATATGAGAATGAAGATTTTGAACTGGGAGTTGGAACTAGAAAACAAAATAACAATGTCAATTTGGAAAAACACAAGAGTTATCACTGGCCAGGTGGTGGCATTTGCCTTTAATCACAGCACTCAAGACAGAGGCAGGCAAAGATCTCTGTGAGTTTGTGGCCAGCCTGGTCTACAGAGTGAGTTCTAGGACAGGCTCCAAAGCTACACAGAGAACCTTGTCTCAAAAAAAAA